CAGAGGAATTAATTTCTGAAGTCAGAATTAAATAAAAGATTATAAAGATGAAAAAGTTACAGTGTGAACTTGAGTGAAAAGGAGGGCTTAATTAAGCAGTATTTTGGCCAGCTTGGCTTGCTCTAAGGCTGACAAAAACCTTGGAAGTGTTTGGTATTTGGATATTAATGGAGTGCAAGGTTGAACACTCCAAAAAACACTAGGGCCCCATTTGTTTGCACAATGTAGCAGTGTACTGTAGCAGCATAATGTGTGAAATCCCCACAAAATTTGATAGAATTTGAGTTGATTTCACACATAACATGCTTCCATATGACACCAACAAACTTGGTCCAGATTTTGTAATACAAAACACTTCATTTCAAATGGTTTGGAGTGAACCAGCTTGTTCAATCTCTTAGTCTGACCCAAAAAACAAGTGAGAACAGAATATTGAGAACAAAAAGGTGAGAAAAAAAAATTGAGCAACAAAATTCAGAAAACAAATTGAGAAAAAAAATCGGAAAAAAAATCGGGAAAAAAATTGGGAAAAAAACACAAAAAAAATTAGAAAAAAAATTGAAAAAGGGCAATAATAAAAAAACATGGGTTTTCCGCGTTTACACACGGTTTTGCTGCGGCACAGCGCACGCGGTTTCCGCGTTTACACACGGTTTTGTATTTAATTTTTTACCGCTTATTTTTCGAGTTTTTTTGAATTTTTAAAGTTGTTTCCTACACTATAAAAGGTGTAGAGTTTAATGGTAAAAACCATTTTGCATCAAAATGAATTTTAATTATCATTTTTTTTTTCACTCATTTCTCAATTAATTGTTTGCAAACATGTTTGTACCTTATTTTTTATGCTTTTTTGAAATTTAAAATGATTTCCTAGGTTTCAATTTGCGTAGAATTTAATGGTGCAATCCAATTTTTTTAAAACTCAACGGTTCATTTTTAATACTGAAATTAGATCCATTTTTTCACTTAATTTTTTACAGCTTAATTTTCATCATTTTTTGACATTTTAAATTTATTTCCTACACTTTAAGACATGTATAAAATTATGGTAACAACCATTTTTCCCCAAATTGAAAACTATACCTTGAATGCTGCATTTGACATGTTTTTTTAATTAATTCATCACTTTTTCACTTGATTGTTTGCATACATGTGTGTACCTTATTTTTTATGATTTTTTGAAGTTTTAAGGTTGCTTCCTACATTTAAATGTGTGTAGATTTTAATGGTAACATCTAATTTTCTTAAAACTCAACGGTTCATTTTTGATACTGAAACTCAGCACTTTTTTCAATTAATTCTTTACATGTTATTTCTCAATATTTTTTGAAATTTTAAATTTATTTCCCACACTTTAAGACATGATTAAAATTATGGTAACAATCATTTTACATAAAAACCAAAGATTGTTATTGAATACTGTGTTGGACATGTTTTTTTTAATGTTTTGTTAATTGCTTTTTACCGGCTGGGTTTTAATCATTTTTTGAAATTTTGAATTTATTTGCTACATTTAAAAATGTTTAAAATTGAATGGTGAAGTCCAATTTCCCTAAAAATACAAGCTTCAATCTTAATACATGAGTGTACCCTGTTTCTTGCATAATCTGTACCGTATACAAATTTTATTTGAATGAAAAATGGATACATCCAACAATTTTAAAACCTTTCAAAGTGTAGTAAATAAACTTGAAATTCCAAACAATAAGGATAATTAAGCGTGTAAGAATTAATTAAGGAAACACGTCAAAGGCATTATTCAAGATACAGATTTTATTTTGATGCAAAGTGATTGTTACCATCATTTTGAAAATCTCTGAGAGTGTAGGAACCAAATTTAAAATGTCAAAAAATGATGAAAATTAAGCTCTTAAAAATCAATTGAAAAATATGACTAATTACAGTATTCAGAATGAAACTTTGAGTTTTAAGAAAATTGGATTCTACCATTAAATTCTATAGAAACACTTTTAAATGTAGGAAGCAACTTTAAAACTTCAAAAAAGCATAAAAAATAAGGTACACACATGTATGCAAACAATTAGGTGAAAAAGTGATAAAATAATTAAAAAAGCGTGTCAAATGCAGCATTCAAGGTATAGTTTTAAATTTGGGGAAAAATGGTTGCTACCATAATTTTATACCTGTCTTAAAGTATAGGAAATAAATTTAAAATGTCAAAAAATGATGAAAATTAAGCTGTAAAAAATTAAGTCAAAAAATGGGTCTAATTTCAGTACTAAAAATGAACTGTTGAGTTTTAAAAAAATTGGATTGCACCATTAAATTTTACGCAGATTGAAACCTAGGAAATAATTTTAAAATTTCAAAAAAGCATAAAAAATAAGGTACAAACATGTTGACTCCAGGTCAAGGTTTTTGGTAAAGACAATATGTCATGTAAAATTCTAAATTTAAGGTTTATTGTACAACTTTACAACCTTGTCATACAAGACTTGCATCAAATGGTTTGTAAAATTACATATTTCAATGTTGTGATGCAATTTTAACAAACATTTTTTACAAACCATTTATTTACAACCTTCCAAAATCACAGATAGGTGGTAAAATTATACAATACCCCCATATGAATAGAATTTTACAAACTATTTGGTTTACAAGACGAAAATAGTTTGTAAAATTCACTTACCCCTTAAACAATTCCATCTTCCAAATTTTTGGTGGATGGTCTCAGGCAAGCACCCCCACTTGAGGCATAAGTCCCTTCCTTTGCCACCAGCCAAGCTTAAGCACGGGGAGTGATAATCACACTCCACCCCCCTTTGCACACACACTCCAACACTCCCTTCTCTGAAGGGAGTGTGGGACCGCACGCCAATCGAAATTGGTGTGCGGACCTGCACGCCAGCCCCCTGCCCGGGAATTACCCCAGCAGGTTGGCGTGTGGGTCCGCACGCCAATTTCGATTGTTGTGTGAGGCTGCACGCCAACCGTTAAGCGAGGTTACCTTGCTTGCAGGCAGGCGTGCAGCCCGCCATCGCATATTCTCGACCTAAACCCATATTCATATGGGTTTAGGTCAAGCCATATCCCATAGGACCCAGGGATGGGTCCTATGGAGAGACTGTTTGGCTCAAACCTTGCACCAAGGCATGGGTTCAAGGTTTGGACCCTGACAGCCATCGGCCAAGGTTCAACCTTGGGGTGATGGCTGTGAGGTTTTTAAACCTTGAACCCCTGTTTGGTTCACGGTTTGAGCCAAAACAGTCTCTCCATAGGACCCATCCCTGGGTCCTATGGGATATGGCTCAACCTAAACCCATATGAATATGGGTTTAGGTCAAGAATATGTGATGGCGGGCTGCACGCCTGCCTGCAAGCGAGGTAACCTCGCTTAATGGTTGGCGTGCGGCCTTGCACGCCAATTGAAATTGGCGTGCGGACCCGCACACCAACCTGCTGGGGTAATTCCCGCGCAGGGGGCTGGTGTGTGGTCCCACACTCCCTTTCTGAATGGAGTGTTGGAGTGTGTGTGCAAAGGGGGGTGGAGTGTGATTATCACTCCTTCTTAAGCACCACCCAAAACTAACCTCCTGCCCAAGGAGAACTTTGTTCAAAAGCCTGGGGCCTGTTTTAGCGGGGTTCACAATACAATTTTGTCAGGAAAAAAATTAAGCAACTCAGGATTTGGGAGCACTCAAACCTGGGCTTAATTTGTAATCAAAATTAAGCTTAATAATTAACAGATCCAGGAAAATTAAGGGTCCCCCGCTATTAGCGGGTTCACAATAAGATTTTTTCAGGAATAAAATCAAGCTGTTAAAATTTTCAAATAAGCCTAAAGCCTACTGAGATATCCATTCATCCTGCCACTGGTAATCAACTCATCACTTGAACGATATGCAATTCATCTTGACCAGACGAAGGTGGGACATTCATGATCTGGAAATGGTGAAAAAAAAACCATCAGTCATCCAGGAAAGGTGAAAGAAAAACAAAACAATTGATCAAGTTGGAAAAAATAGAACATCAACAAACCATTATCTTACCTTGAACCAAAGGATTCTGGGTTACATTGTTGGAGTCAGTGTTTACTTGAGCTTTCTCCTCCAGTTACGGAGTTGGCAATCATATGTAGGCCAGGTCTTGATAAGAATTTAAGGCTTGATTTAGCCTTAAATTTAAGTCTTGGTTGAGCTCAGGAACCCTTAGAGCTTCCTGAGCTCAGGAAAACTTAACGCTTCCTGAATCCAAATCCTGAGCTTAAATTAAGCCTTAAATCAAGCTCAGGATTTCTTAATTTAGGAAAGATTCAAGCCGGGTTCAGGAAGCAAAAAGCTTATCATGAACCCCGCTATTGTGTATTAAAGAATGCTTAGACAATTCAAGGATTTCCAAGTCTTTAGGTTATGTGGTTGCGGTGCACAGCTCAGGTTTAATCCGGCAGTTTGTGGTCAACAACTTTATTTCACAAGGGAGAGAGACAAAAAAAGAAGAAAACCCCTGAACTCAAAATTGTGGAATGCCACAATTTTTGAACATCAATTAACTTGGAAATCAGTCCAATCTTTCTTCAAAACACAATACCATAGCCACCAGTTTTGCCAATTTGCAATTTCTAACTTGGAAATTGAATCTGGTGAAAATGGTTTGTACTGCAAACCCAAAACTGAATTTTGGTTTGTGAAAAAACAAAATTTAAAATTGGAATTAAAAATTTGCCCAGGGACTATGGAACAGGACTTTAATCCTGCAAGGTAAAACACTGAAATTTTGCAGACCAAAGACTGGCAACATTGAACTACAAATAAGCTTTGTAGGCACATGACACTACAATTCACAATTAGATTGTAAGGACTGCGAATGTCCTTCACTAGAGGAGTCAAGGAAGGGCACAAGGGACGGGCAAAGGAGCCTAGAACTTTCTAAGACCAAATGTAGGGAGCTTTTTATTACTGGCTCAGAGAGATGGAAGGAGCAGATCTCTCAGTACAGTCTAGAAAGAGAGAAAACAAATGAAAATAGAAAATAGAACTCACCTGGCTCAGAGAGATGGAAGGAGCAGATCTCTGTGGAGCCAGGAATGGAAACTGGAAAGTGAAGACTATCAAGAGAGTGTGACATGTGGTTTACAGGTTTGTGAACCCAGCCAGAGGAGGGGGGTTTACATAGATGTACTAAAAGTAAGAATTTTGCTACTGATACTAAGAATTTCTACATTGTGCAATGTTCACATGAAAACTGGGGTACAACTGCAACAGTCAAATGAAACACGATGAGTCAAATTTGTAAAAACATGCACTTTCTTTTAGAGTTCACGTTTAGCTCCCTGCGCGGTATTCACATAACCGGCCGCGTTTTGATTGCTTCCCCCGGCTCCAACAGCCTGTTTGATAATGTTCATGGCACCCCCAACAACGTGGTCTCCAGAAGAAAGAACGCTGGATAGAATGTCGCGTATTTTACCTTTAGACTCCATATCTTGACCAATTCATCAGGGGTTAGTTTGTGATTTGATTATTAAGTGATGAGAACGAGGGAACAAGCAGAAACTTACAGTTTTCGTGCATCAACTGAAGTAATTCTTCGCGTGTGGTGCTCATTGAGACTTGTACCCCATGTAGACGTAACCAACCGCGAACGCGATTGTCTGACCAACTCGCATATTCACTCGACTTTGAGGCAAGGTCGGAGTATCTTTTGCAAAACAAGTCTAGAATCTCGTCCTTTTTGGCTTGGTAGTCAGACTTGAGGAATCCATTATCGATTAACCACTAGACATAAAGAGAACAGAAACGTTCCCAAACGTCAGTCACCTATCAATGATCACCGGAATTAACAGAGACAGACCTGTCTCATTTGACTTTCGCTCCATCCACCAATAATGTTCTCCTTGACTGAATAATACTTCTCGTTGAGAATCTTCTCTAATTCATCGCGGCGTAGATTTTGAAGGTCATTCTTTTCGGCGAGCTTATTTTTCAACAAGTAAGCCTTTATCTCGGCGTCACTCCAAGCGTCCCATATTTTATCGGTTTCTCCATAGAAGTTTTCTTGAACGACTTTCAATAAATCATCTCTCGCTTTTCCTGGAGTTTTGGAAAGACCATGGCTTTCCAACCATGACCGCAGAGCAGATTCGTTCCAGCTATTGTAAGCTTTGTCACGAACACTGTAGTAATTGTCCGCAACCAATGATAGATAACTGTGAAGTGTTCAAAAACAAATTAACGTTTTCACGCGCCTACAATATGGAATCTCAACAGTTTCTCAACTCAACTCTTCTTTTTTCTTCTGGGTGCCAGGTTTTATAATTCCTTTTTTCTCTAACCAGGTGCGCAACTCATTAGAGTTCCAAGTCGAGTAAGTTGTGTCTTTGGCGCCATAGTAGTATTGTGAAATCAAATTGACTAATTCTTCGCGAGTGCTAGCGTTGTTCGAAACAACTCCGTGGTCCGCGAGCCATTTTCGAATTCGAGTATCTGACCCTGGTAAAAAAACAAGAGACTTGGTTGGCAATTTACGATTGGAAGGATATTGCAGCAAACTTACAAGTTTCATACACGTTTTGAGCTGCGTCGCTGTACGTATCTTTAATCGCTTGAAGTAGATCGTCTCTACTGAAATGGGTGCTCGACTTGATAGCACCCTTCGCAATCAAGTAGTCTCTCAATTGATTGTCGGACCAAGAACTGTAAACGTAATCTTTCGCATTGTCGAATTTATCGGATAAATAATCGTAAGCAACACCAGGAGCATCCTTCACCGCCTCGGTCGCGGCACTTCCTGCATTGTACGCAGCCGAGCCGGCGGACTTGCCGGTCTGTGAGACTTTTTCGTACGCAGCGTCAGCAGCAGAAGTTCCCGTATGGTAAGCGGCGGAACCAGCATCTGCGGCCTTGTTGTAAGCTGCAGACCCGGCCTCGGACGCCGCCTCACCGACGTAAGCACCAGCGTCGTGAACTTTCCAGCCGGCGGCTTGACTTGCTTCGGAAGCCTTGTCGTAAGTAGCAGAACCAGCATCGGCAGCCTTCTCGTAAGTGGCTGAGCCCACATCGGCGGCAGCATTTTTAACAGCCGATCCAGCATCGGACACAACGTTGGCTGCCGAGGAAGCAATATTACTCGCCGATTGTGCGCCTATTAGCAAATGGAGAAATTTCAACAAAACTTCGAAAGACGCGAGGATTTGAAATATTACTCACCAGCATTTAAATATCTCTTTGCAGCTCTAACCAGCTCTTCACGTTTACTATTAGGGCTTACAACACCGTGTTCCAACAAGAAGTCCCTCAGTTGGCTATCAGTCCATAAAGCGAAAACCGAGTTCGTCTTATCTTGCAGGACTTGCTGAGCTGAGCCGGCAGAGTTGCTCAAGTATTGAGTTGAATCTTGATAGTTGTCCTTGACAATACCGACCAACTGTTCACGTGTCGAACTTGGAGGGGTTGGGAAACCATGTTCCTCCATCCATGCTGCAGGCCGGCAAGTTCAAATAAACTGTGTGTTTGATTCAAAGATAGAATAAAGATAGTTCACACCTTTTAAGTCAGAGTCACTCCACGCATCTACGGCGCCATGATAACTTTGACGAATCGTGGCGATTATGCCTTCACGAGGTTTATCAACTTGAACGGGCAAGGAATATTTGTTCACATATTCTTGCAAGTCGGCATCACTCCTATAAAATCAGAAGAATGCCATTTGAGCATATTTCAAAGGCCTGACTCAGGTCACGAGTGAAAATAAAGCTGACCAGCGGTCATAAGCAGAATCATAATTTTTTTGAATCAATTCGCGCAACGCTTGACTGTTGAGGTTTCCCGGATTGGGAATGTGGTGGTCAGTCAACCATTGCTCGACCTTAGAATCGCTGGGAAGTACACAATAATCATGATACGATGAGTATAAATATATGTAAATTATAAATCGCACGGGTACATAGGTCAGCACTCTGCTCAGACTGTTTGAATGGTTTGGAATTCAGTATGTTTCGCTTACCTCCAATCAGTGTAGGATGGCTCTAAGTAGGCCAAACGAACGGCGCAACAAGAAACATATCAGCTTGAAAGAATCAGCAGGGCAAAAGGGGGCCTGGAAAACGAAAAGAAAAACTCACTCTTATCAAACAAAGCAACTGCTGGCCTTGGGGCTAACAGAAGCATTAGAACCAAAGCTCCAATACACGGAGACATTTTGATCGGAGTATCGAACGAAGGTTTGAACTGAATGAGAATCGACGACCGAATCTATGCAAGCAATTTGCTTGGCTCAAACAGTTCGAGACTCGGGGAAGTTGACCAGTAAGTTCGGTTTTTTGAGATTCGGGTCAACAGACTGCCCTTCCGAATTCAGCTTAGAAAGATGACTGGTTTTTTTACCAGAGAGATAAGTGTTTTTTTAGAAAGATAACTGTTTTTTTTTTGGTAGAGAGATGTAGTTTTGTTTTTTTTTTTTGGGGGGGGGAGGGCTGATTGACAAGCGATTTCTTGAAAGTGCTACTGCGAGGGGGAAATGGAATACAGGAACAATGGTCGTCTAAGCATCAACCAGGCTGAATAATTTCCACTTTCTTTGACTCAGATCGGAAGAGTTTGAACGGGAATGGTAGAACCAAAGAAACCAGTCGACAAACCAGATGTCGTTCTTTTGTTCAACCCGAACAATTGCAATGAGATCATGCTCGTGACCTAAGCCCGAGAATGGGATGGTTTGAAATCTACCCCATAACTGTTCCAGAGTACATGACGTCACGATCACCCAAACCTTCAGCTCGATCACAAACGGCGTTTAATCAATTTGACTCACTCATCAAAGGTTGGCTGATTAAGTCTAAGATCGATGTATGTAGGCTCATGGCCGAGTCCTCGCGGTGTTCCCGCTCAGGATCAAGTTTTGAGCTGCCGATGACGTCAAAGTCTCCGCCAATCAGCAGTGCAAATACCAGATCAATCATCCAAAGGGAATGATTGAAGGTTGACCCTCTCTTTCCTGCAAGCTCCGCACCACGGGACAAGCTCAACTGTTTGTAGGACATGGGATTTTATGAAAATGTAAGCCATCATGTTTCAATCATTCACAGCTTAATTGTGACTCGATCGATTGGATTTGACCAGTAGGCGGGATCTCATTTAATTTGTCTTGGCCGCTGATCCTCCTGCACAGAATCAGCCGGTATTCATGTGGGCTCGTCATGAGTCGAAGCCCGTGTTGATTTGATAGGTCGGCTCATCAAGCTTGTCCCTTTTTCTTCTCTTCTGCGGGACTTGGTCAACTCAGATGTGTGGGCATCAGCTCTTTGTGGCTTATTCCGTCGATTAATCAGGAGGTGCACATGATTGCTGACTAATTGGATGTTGGCTCCGATTCCGGGACGTTTTTTTGTTTAGAGAAATATTGGTCACTCGATCCGCGGCCAGGGATGCAAAAGGAAAATCACAAATGCATGACAACCCGGCCGGGCATTCTATTATATGTCGGTCCCGGAGAGTTTATATGCACGCCAGGCGAAAAATACGGAGCACGTTCCGGTTCTGACTGTCTTCTGGCTCGGGCCGTCAAACAGAATCTTGGAGTAAATACATCACTTCCGATGCAAGATTGTTTGAAAAGTCATGTTGCGAGAGCGACTGAGCCAATCTGAAGCAAAAAACTACACACTAAAGTGGAATGATGAAAACCATGATAGGCAATGAAGGACGCAAAGAGGAATCTTCAGAAGCTACAACGTTGCTGTTTCTACATATATCTGGGTTGCGGCTTCTTTAATGTGTAAATTCAAAAGGGTTTACTTGGGTCACGAAGTCGAAGCAGACTCGCAGAGTCGACCTAGTTTACCAATTCCCTCTGTTTGTGGAGAGTAGTGCAGGAGCTGAACCCGGGAAAGCCAGACGTCCTTCTTTACATGAATTGAAAGTTGACTTGCTTCAACTTCGAAAAAATGTATAACAAGCGTCCTTGGAGCTGGTGGTACACATAGACGTCGATTTGTCTCCAACATGTTTCGCAATATTTTAATCCCCCAGCTGGTCGCCCGGCTGAGCGTCCACCGAGGCAGTGGCCAATAGTGCTGCATGAGCCGGGACTCGGACAGTCACAGCAGGTGATCTTGACGAAACGTGAACGTGTACAGAAAGATTTGCCTCCAGCATAAGTCCTCGGGACAGGCTCGTCCAGCTCCCCGCTCGAGACCCTGGAGCCTGCTTGGGTCGGACGCGCTCTGAATTATAAGCGTCTTTGGAGTTTAAGGTTTTAAGCAGAGCGAAGTCGGGTCTATGGATTGGTTTGAAGCAGCGTCACACTTTGAGTATGTATCATTGTACCAGAAGCGAAACGCATCAAATTGTCTTGGATTCGAATCTTTGGCATCATCGGGCCAAGTCATGTATCAGCTTGTCGTTTCACTCTCCAAAGGCATGATGACCAGACAGCCATTCTGCCTCCCACTCACAACATATGCCAGAGACAAGTCCTGCTCGCCGGCTACTTCTCTGCGCCACAGAAAATCGTCAAGTAAATCCGTCAAAACATCCTTGCAAACAGGATGCATCCTTACCAGTCTCTCGTCGCCTGGCTATCTCTCAGGTTCTCCAATGCCACTTTCGCCTCGATTCCTTTTCCATCAACAATTCAACCCAGTAATGCTAATAACACACAATGTCAAATATACCCAACTACCATTGAAAGCTGGAACCAACTTGAAGTCGACCAGTTCCTTGCAAATTTCCCCGGGGGAAAAGATACCCCATTAGATGATTTCATCTTTGGAAGTCATATCACCAACTTCGCATGTGGTTTGGGTGAGAATTGTCTGGCAGGGCAAGTAGGTAACACTTCAATTTATATAGAATCGGAGAGAAGTTATCATAATAATATACTCATGCTGAACTTACTCCGTTTTAGCAATGCTTACCCTTTCAGGGCTCCCTCTGGTTCATGCTTTACTCTCTGCAAGAATGGAACCTCTACGTGAATTCCTTATATGATGCCACCACATCAGCAGTCGCGCAGATTAAAGGTAAGATTCACGTTTCCTCCTACTCGGCTCAGCGAAAATCAGGAGTGGATACTGACTTGGATCATTCGGTAATTTATGAAATCGAAATACGTCGCAGAAATCTCATCATCGATGATAACAGACTTCCTCATCTCACCGGACTTACACGAGAAGCAAGCCACAAGACTAGCCATACTACTTACCCTGGTCACTGGTTCCGCAATTCTAGCGTTCGCTGCCGGTCTTTTTGGACCGGTTTGTTTTCCAGCTTGGGGCGTAGCGACAGAAGCCGAGCTCTTAGAAGAAGAGGTAGGATCAGATGCAATCTTTCAGACGACAATCAAAATCAATCACAACAAGAGATCCCTCTCCAAGCGGTCTCTCGCAACGGACAGTCAACTTCCACTTGAGGCAGTCTACGAGAGCCAGAAAACACTTTCTAGCAAGCTGCAGGGCTTGGGAGGAAACTTTGGCGCTTCCTCGGCAACTGGAACCCCCGATCTTCAAAAAATGAAGGAAACGTTGCATTACTTGACAAAAAAAAGCATTTGGTCGGATTTGGTTGTTAGCGTTCTTTCAGGAAATGAAAAAAAGTTCGTCGAAATCAAAAACAACTTGGTATCTGGACATGAAACCAACGAGGAACAGCGATTAGTGAAGCGGTCTGCCCCACAAGATATCCCACCGGATCATTTTGCAACAGTGAGTCCTGAAGATGACCAAGCTGGAGGACGCAAACTGAACGCTGACTGGTATATCCTTTTACTCAATCAAGTGGAATGTCATCAACGCTTACTTGACAAGCTTTTGTGATCATCTTAAATCTGTGATCGCGGTTACTTCGCAGATCGGTGTTACTGCTCCAATCTCTTCGGATGAGGGGGTTTGGGGAATAATCCGAGGAGGCAAATTCCTATCTCCTAATCCTAATATGTCTCAAATTCAAGATAAACTAAGAGAGACGATGAGGCTGAGCGCCCTTGCCCAAGTCCTCAAATCGATGGTAGGTCTATTTTTTCACCTTGACAAGTTAGATTGGATTCCTGAAACTGATGGTTTGATCAACTTGGTAGAATGTATTTGTGACAATCGGGAGCGTAAGAAAATTGATCGACTTATTTTCTTCAGGCTCTGCAGTAATTGAAATCAGGCTCTAATTCGCCACTCATTTTTTTCAGGACAAGTGCAACAACAAAGGCCCCAATGGAGCATGGAAAGGAGACGACAAATTATCATTTTGCAGTCCAGAAGGCTTGTGAGTAGTACTTATTTCATGAGAAGCGATGCGATCGCATTATGCTAAGGTTACTTTTCACTACAGGATGATGAATTTAATTCGAGCATCGAGAGATAAATCCGTAAACAAAATTGTCAACGCCCACCTCATCACTGAAAAATACGGGTATACAGTCGAATTTCTAGCCCAATCAGCATGGTCTTGTCAGGAGCACAATCTGAAAATTGCGGGAAGACCAAGCCCTGAGTATGTGCACCCGTCTCATAGATCAAAAATATAAAGCTAAAAAAATCGTGTATCTTCGAGATTAACCGATTTTCTTTTCTTTTACCAAAATAAAAAACCATCAGGGGTCTCAAACCTGACAGTAAAGTCGGATGCACATTCGATCTACCTGTTTGTGATACGCGAATTCCAGGTGGGTGCTTTTCGTGCATATTTCTACTTTGAAGTCAAAGAATACAAGAGCCATCATTATATTCACACGACTCCTTTTCTGATCATCAGAGGTTGCCAAGTTGCGAAAGAAACACAAATCAACTGTTGTGGCTTGTAGAAGGGGGCTAGCACTCAACATCTAAATCTACATAAGCCAATGATCATCGGAAACAGGAACGGACAAATCGACCTGGAGCTTGAATTTTGGGTCAACTGATAGATATGGCATTCATTCTCCATCATTTTATCTTGCACATTGTGATCCAAGCTTCCTATATCATATCACAATGCTTACGAGATCACATCTCCTCTTAGTTCGACGCTGACAAAATCTTTTCCATTGGTTCGATGATTTTCATGCCTCTGAATTAAAATCTGTTGATGGACACTTCATACTTGAAATTCTGCATTGTCTTATTCTAGTCACATAATCTGTCCAAAGTTATTTATTCAAATCCTCCATTTTCTGCACAAATTTGGGGCTGCAGGCATTTAGCTAGCTGTTCGGGTCGTGGTGGCCGATGCACGCCCCCGAAGCGGCGTTGACAGTGCGGGATGGGGCCTGCGGGACAGGGTGTAGATGCCAGGGCAAGCCTCAGGATGGGGGCGTACACAGGCGTGGATGCCGTGTTGGAATCCACTTATGTGAGAGAGGGCGTCGATGGGATCTTTCGCGCCTCCAGACAACGATGGCCGGGAGGGGGATCCTTCCGGCCATCAAGCCGTCCACTCTCGACGGCCAGAGAGATTCATCTTCGGCCATCGATCTTTCCACTTCCGATGGCCAGAAGGATTCCTCTCCTAGCCATCGGGACCATACAGTCTCGGCAGCTGGCAGGTAGTCCCTCCTAGCCATCCAGACTGGAAAGGTTGATGACCGCCCAGGGACCTGAAAAGATTCTATCAGGCCATCGTGCTTTCCAGTCTAGACGGACGGGGTGTCCCTAATCCTTTGTGATTAATGAATTGACAAGAATTATTTTGGAGCTAACATTTTTCCTGTTATCTTAAGTCCTCCACGTACCATCCTATCAATGTATTTTTTGTTGAATTTTGGAACCAATGACAGGAGGAATTGAGATTTTTGAGAAGAGGGCACAAAAAGGTTAAAGACCTTTTTGGGAAAGGTTCACGGAAAAAAGAGTGAAAGAACCAATCATTTTCATTCACTTGCAACTAGCCAGGATTAAATAGACTAGGTACAAGTGGTCAAAAAGTGGTTGAAAGAAAAATGAATAAAGAATGTTTTTTGAATAAAAACTGAGAGGAAGAAACATGAGTCTTGGAAGAAACAAACCGTACAAAACTTCTCAGTCTCTTTTAGTCAAGCCAGATGAGTTAATCAAGAAAAACATGCTATAAACCACAGATATTTAGAGTCGTTAATTCTAAATAATCAGTCTTTGATAAATCAATCATAAAGTCAGAAAAAAGAAGAATTCATTGTAGAGACATGAGTAGTTAGAAAAAGCTGATCTACTTAAGGTTCATATTTGACTCAGAAGGGGGCTTAGAATAACCAAAAACAAGCTACTTAACAGATATAATCTAGTCTGATTTATGATGACTTGAAAAAGAAAGAGGAGTGATTTTGGGGAGGAGTAGGCAAAAGAAGCTGAAAACTCAACATTTTTCTCAAAAGATTGAATTCTGTTGAGGAAATTCAGACTCACCTTTCAGAGAACATGTATTTCACCCATCTTTGTTGTAATTCTGTTTTGATTAAATTTTGAAAGATATATTATAGTTTTATTTCATAATTCAATCACAACATAAATATTTTTTGCAAAATCTCTTGTGCAGTGGAGGACTGCAGGCCTCACAGAATCAATTCTGAGCCCTGAAAGCTAGATTTATCCCCCCAAAAAGTTTTTTTGAGTCTAAATCAACATCTTCTGTTGAGGGGACCAAAGTGTAATGAAAAGAGAATCAAGAGTTAGGAAAAACAGTTTTCCAAATGAATAATTAGAATCCACCTGAATATTTGTATTTTTCACCTCCCATGGTAAGGGCAAGGCTCATGTCTGAGCTGCTCTCTCTTGTTGGTTTTAATACATGTAACTCAATACTGGATATCAAACTCTCTTTCTTGAAATATGTTATTTTTAGTTACACAATCCTCTTTTTCAGCGTGGCATGTTTTCTTGTATTGGAATGCTTGTGTGGAGACGGGTTAAACAAGTAATTGACAGATTGTATTGGAGGGCTCCCATCACCTAGATGGTTTGATGTAGGAGGGGGTCCCCAACTTTAGGGCCTGTGCCGTAGGGCATAAAAATTCAATTTCTCAGAATTTATCTTCCTCAAATTTTCATGTCATCAAAATCGACCATCATCAAGACCAAGTTTTTGGTCCAAATGTGAAGCATTTCAATAAGACATCTAGACAGAAAAAATGAATAATTTTCAAAATTGAATCAGAACCATTGGAATCCTATGTAGGACCCCGGAAACCTCCTGTAAATGGGGGTAACCAAATTGTTTGGAAAATTTTCAAAAGGGTTGTCACCAAAGCTGTATGAATTAAGTTTTTCTGTCAAGGGTTTTCCTTTTTTCACTGGTTCTTGTTTCAAAAAAAGTGGTTTTCATGATCGACCCAGGATGGAAAACTAGAGGCAAAAAACGCACTAATTTGAGGCTTTGTGGAAGAAAGTACTTTAATTTTAGAGGGATTCCTTCCAACATTCTCTCCTCACCCCCAATGGGTAGGCACAAAGTGGGTGTGAATGGCTTTGGAAAATATATGAATTGTGGGAAAAATCCACAAGGGTCCTGAATTCCTCCACCATTTGGTGCACCCTCAGCCTTTGACTCGGAAGCCAAACTTGTCCAGTATCTTGAGGCCGCTGAAAACCTATCCTAGATCATAGACTAGGGCCGGCTACAGGGAAATTATGGAAAGACTGATACCATGTCAAATTAGACCGGCTCAACACCCAGATCCTCTGATCCAGTCCCATTGAAGGCGGAATGACATCGCAATTTCTTGTTGACAAGCCGAACAAAGCTTTTGATTCTATATAGAGTCGAAAAAATCTGGTACCAACAGTGGATTTTCAAATCTTTCCGGTTCTTCCTCCTGCCAGTTTATTATGTACATTGGTACCCAAATCATGAGAGGTGCCAGGTAAATTATTTGCCCTTTGACCACGCAACTCCTAGATCCGGGGGAAAGCTCCAGGTATCTGTAGACTATGGCCTCTCACTTAGATCGCAAATCCCAACGGTATTCCAAGATAAAGCTTCCTTTTAATCCCTGGTGTGACTGGTTCCTGATCTCTACAATACATTTCTCGGGTGGGTATCGCCGTGTACTTGCAACCTACTTGAGGTACTAGTTCCGGCGTATAAACTATCATTCTTCAGACCTCTTCATACGATTGATGAGAGGAAGAAGTGAATCCTTGCGCTAGGTAAATTTGATCACAAAAACTAAACTCCTGATAAATCTTATTTTTCTTTCAATTCACATTACAGATCGAGAATTTTATCGACCTACTGGTTCGAAAGTTATGTCTCTGAGAGAACTTCAGTACAATTAACAGCCACGTTCTCCTGACATCCTGGTATGCTAGGCTCAATTCTAGTTCAGATTTGATATTTCTTACATTAAGCAAGAATTGATGACCAAATATTGAAAATTTGTAAAATACTCTGAAAAGTCACATTCCAGTCTGGTACCTTAGCATATTCCGTACTTTTCAAGCAAGGATCTCATTTTTCTTTAAAAGGAAGAATGAAAACAATATGGGGTTTGAACACATTAATTGCAATTTTCGCACATGCACTCTTGCTATTAACTCAGTGCAAGGGAAACCAGTCACTTCAAGATGCGCCCTTTGTGAGTGATTTTCAGGCCGTTTCATCTTCGATCTGTTTTTCTTCTCATTAACTGGGATTGATGTTTTCAGAAAAGCCCTGAACGAGTGTATCGAGATGCCATGGTGTGTCCGAGAGGTGAGTGAATTGGAGAATCCAATCGCCGGTTCTTCAAATTAGGTTCTGATTTTCCTCTGTTGATCGAATTGTCCAGGAATCGCAAATAAGACTGGCGGTAAGCTCAACTTTTTCTCCTCGAACTTGGGACGTTTATTATCTGAAGTTCAGCCATTTCCTCCCAAATTTTTAAAACAGGAATCATCTTTTTGGTGCATGGAGCTTGTGAGCCAATACGTTCTTCAACCTTAGGGCATAACATTCTGATTCATAGTATCGATATCTTCTAAAACCTATAGCTACTACGGGTGCAAACACATGGAGTGGGGTAAGAAATGTGACTCAGTGAGAGTAGAAGTTTCGAAACCTTAATGGAACATGAAATTTTACAGTCGCCTTTCAACGAGCCACTGGCGAATTCAGGTCCCGGGTATGACATATGCTGGGTTAACTTGCCCTGGAAAGGGTTAGGTGACATCCAGCAATCAGCCGAGTACGTTGCATTCGGTATCAAGTATTTTTCGTCGTTATCACACGCCTCGGGCAACAAAATCAATGTCATTGGACATAGCCAAGGGTCTGGCTCTAGTGTAAGCCATTTTCACATGGATTAACAACGGAAAACAACTTGCGAAAAGTTAGACATTCATGCATTCAAAATTCAAAACTCGAATGACAAACAGATCCAGTGGGCTTTGAGTAAGGCGGCGACCCTTAAGAATCAATTGTTAAACAGTCAAGTGGTCTGATTCTCTTTTAAACGTTTTACAAAGCGTTTTGGCCTTCAATAAAACCTTTAGTTTTGAACTTCTTCTCAATTGGTGGGACTTTTCAAGGAACGATTGAAGCTACGCCAATGTGTTTCTTAGAAAATCTATGGGGAGGATGCTTGCCCAGTCCTTTACAGCTCAAGCCCGTTGAGTGATTTTATTGATTCAGTGGTGTGCAACGGTTTCTTGTTGATCGGTTTGGGCGCATCATTTCTGAGGCTCACAGAAATCCAAGTACATGAAGGCCCAGAATTCTGAAGTGGACGAACACAGTGGCGCAAACGCTCAAGTTAAAACAATATCTATTTTCTCCATTTATGACCAGGTACTTCAATGGGAAGGTGGGGAGGGGGTACGTTTCAATCTATTACTACATCACTCGGGTTTCTTTCATTCAGATATCTCTGCTCGTAATTATGATAGAATAATGAAGCACAGCTTTGCTTTCAAATATGGCTAACTCTTGGTTGTCCACCCGCTGCGAATTCGATTTACGATGTTAACAGAAAACCTCTTTTCTCAAAGGTGCAACCATGTTGAACCTCCAATCTGAAAAGCTGTGCGGGAAAGGTCACGTTGTCGGACATCTGTGGGCTTGGAAAATTCGCTTGGCCTTAAATTTCTCGTCCTCAACGTTGGATTTCTTAATCAGTGAAACCTCAGAAGAATTGATTCAAGCCAATTTTTTTTATCTTTTAGAGGGATTGTGGAGGATATGGCAACCTTGAAGATAATTGAAGCAATTATTCCTTCTAGCAATCTGATCACCAATGAATTGGAAAGTTTTGATAGTGAGCATTTGCTTACGGATATCGATCCCCATAGAAAAAACGTGTGAATAGTGTAACAGGTTGAATTCACCAAGCGTGTTTTGTTATTTCTTCGCTTCACAAAATTTAGAGTCAAACTGCCGACACCTTGGTGAGTCTAAGTATGGTTGACGATAGACTAGATTCCCATTCTTGTTCCATCCTCACTACGCAGCGTGGCTAATCTTAGTTCTTGATTTGTCTCAAAAACTCTTAGTGGGGCTATGGTTCCACTTGATTTCTAGGTGGCAATACGTCTTAAAAGTCGGGCTGAATTTCGTGATTGGTCCTGCCAGACTGCACAAGCTATTCAAACAGTATGCACATTTGGTGAGTAAAACACTCACATCCAAGGAGCAAAGGCATTGGATCACCCATGCATGTACGGAGACGTCATTCTATGCGCTATTACTGACCACCCATTTGGTAAATTTATTGCAAAAAACTTTGATGAACGCGGACAAACTAAAAATTCCGACATTTAGCGAGTCGCGGAGGAACCGGGATTACAAGTTGAGTATGCTGAAGAACCGAAGTCGTTCTTCGTCAAAATTCATACCTAGAATAACCGTCGAGATCTGGAAAAGGATCCCTACGGGATGGCTGATAATTGGCTGAGCGATTGTTTATCTCTTGGCAGAGCTACGTTTGCGAAAGAGGTTACGCCACCGATTGTCTTCCTCCCACCGCTGCGTTTCCCGATTTGAGGGAATAGGCTAGGGAATGGTCAATGCTCTAAAACTGAATAAAAAATAGACATTTTTTTACTTGTCGATGTGGAAACTTATGGCGATTGGATAAAAACCCGCTATTATTTGATCAAGTTTCAAATGTGGGAAATATGCATCACTGAGAGGTGTAATCATCAGAGGAAAGTGAGCAGGATGTAAGCTGATGACAATAGAGTCTTATATAAAAGTTTGAACTCAATCAAGGTAGTTAAGACAGACAAGTGAATGAATGATTGGTGTACCAAAAAGGAAAATTGGGCCCCGGAGGAAATGGGGCTGCCCACCCCTTTCACCCCGGAAAGTCCCCTTCGGAGAGCTGAAACATAAAAAGATGCAAGCTCACCGTGTATTGTGCATGGTTCTCGGAGAGCCAGCCCAGTTGACCAGCTTCCCGGTTATCGATCCTCCTCGGGGAGTGACCACATCAGGTATGATTTTCCTCGTCGAGCTGGTTTTCATGCATCCGCCGGCGGACGTTGGGTAGGGAAAGATCCATGTCCCAAACAAATTCTTCAGATGACAGGAGACTTATGACCCCCCCCCCCCCCAGCAGACCCTGTAAATTGGGAAACTTATGTCAAGTCAAGGAAAAATGATACGCAAAGCAACGGCAGCACGAGTAGTGACGTGTGGAGCTTCATTATTGAAATTTTAGGCTGGTCTGCCGTTTTTCTTCTTGCGGTCACATCATCATTTGTCTCTTAAATCAGCTACTTGATCAAGAAACCTAAGGATCCAACCTCAATTTCTTCCAAAACCTATAATTTTAGACAGATATTATGAGTCGTCTTATGCAGTATGAGGTGGATTTCTTGGGTCAGACAGAGGGGGCAGGGTTCAGGATTAAAATGAATGTCCGGTACCACTCTAGACACCATCCCCTCGTTCCAGAGGGCCGGGGGGACCTCGCGAAGAGGGTCGCTCCGCGAGAGGCGCCTGGCGGTGTTTCACCCGTCCCACTCTGAAACGAGGGGCTGGTGTTAAGCTAGAATGACCAGGCACAGCCAGGGACCTGGAAAGTTTCAGAGTCTTATCATCAAACAGAGACGGGTATTTATGTATCAGAGCAGTTTGGGGAAGCCTTGCATAAAAGCGTTTGCCGCTTCCCCACTTGAAAGAAGGATAGTGGGTTCTGTGGTAATATAGCAAGTTGTGGGCCAACATATGTATGCGTATAAATAAATATGTTATGTTTTCCACAGGAATCACGGCGCAATCCACGTCCTACCTCGGTAGCCAGAGCATCGATCGTCAAATAGAAAACTGAAGGCGGAAACACAAATCTTTTATTTTCTCCTTGAGTGAAGTTAACTCGAAAGCGTTTGTTCGAAAAATCACAGTACTAATAATAATGTGTGTACATCGACTGCAGGCTTGTTTATAAACTATGCTGCTGCTTTGGAAATGTCTTAAGTCTTAAATCATCTTTCGTTAGGACAAATTTTCAATGGTTTCCCATGGGTTGTTGTTTGCTGCTCAGCATCGTAAGACCTTTATTTTCTCGTTATGACAGTTTGTAAGGAAAATAGAAACTGATCCGGAGCATCTGCTTTGTACTCTCTTCGCGTTGCTTACGTAGCTGGTGCGACTGAATCTCGGGATGGAAATTCAATCTACTCAAGAACCCGTTAAGATTGCTGCAAAGCAGCGGTCCGCCATATACTTGCATGAACAGTCAATCCGGCAACTTCCTTCAAATGATCTCGACCTGGAATCTCAGCAGCTCACAGATTCCTCTAACGTGCTCCCTACTTCCTCACCAACTAATAAACCTGCCTCCGATCCACAAGTGAGCAAATTCATTCAATTACACTTTTCCCGATATAAGAAGTTCAGGAAATAATCGGGTGGGTTAACCCTGCTAGAAGCCCGAAGAACACAAGATCACCATCGACAGGACTGGGAAAGCACAAGGCCCTCAGATTCAAGGAAAAACCGCCATAGTTTCGAATGAACACATCGTTGGGGATACACCTGCTGGGCTTCACGCCGAATCCCAGGAGCTTCAGACAGTCCCAAGAAATAGAGAGTTCGGTCTGCAGACGGGTTTTTTTCTTGTGTTTACTCACCTGAGCGGAATGGCGATATTTCTTTTTCTTCTTTATCTTCTCCCTCGTGTTCTTTAGATGATCACATCGTGCAGTGATACCAGTACTAGTAGCACCAGTAGTCTGGTCACAACATCCAATCCTACTACACTTTTTCCATCTCTGTACGTGTTCCGGGTGGTGCTTGTCTTATCTAAGGTGTTAGGGGCACCACCCGTAGCCCTTCCTGGTCCCCTAGAATCTCTAGGGTTTTCAGGAGGGGCGCGTGAGGGTCTTGGGAGAGACCATCTTCTAAGCTCATTTACCGCCCGTGAGGGGGGCCTAAATGGTGGAAGAGGTCCTCTTCCTGAAACAGAGAGGAGAGGTGTGGGGGATCGCGCTAGACCCTAGGGTGGGGGGGAGGCACTAAAAAACACTGCGCGTAGAGACGGGGTAGTAGGAGTGAGATGGGGAGAGGAGCGCCTGGCGATGCGGGCTGAGAGGATCAGAAGGGTGAGGTTATAACCTCTCTCCTTCGCGAGGGGGCCGTGCTTTCCCAGGCCAGTCCTGACCTCTCAGCTCGGGGCAAGGCTCCAAGCGTTCGGGGTCTTGGACTTCAGACACATCCGCTATGCGCTCCTGTCTCTCCCAATCCAATCCTACTACACTTTTTCCATCTCTGTACGTGTTCCGGGTGGTGCTTGTCTTATCTAAGGTGTTAGGGGCACCACCCGTAGCCCTTCCTGGTCCCCTAGAATCTCTAGGGTTTTCAGGAGGGGCGCGTGAGGGTCTTGGGAGAGACCATCTTCTAAGCTCATTTACCGCCCGTGAGGGGGGCCTAAATGGTGGAAGAGGTCCTCTTCCTGAAACAGAGAGGAGAGGTGTGGGGGATCGCGCTAGACCCTAGAACTCAGGTTAGAAGCCTGAGCCTCTGCGCGAAACCCCAAACTTCGCTCTGGGTTCAACTCCTCACGGTGCATGGGTGTGAAATTTACATCATTCGCCATTGCAAATCTAGCCGTGACAAGGTTTCTAGGGACGTAGACAAATCGTCCGAGGAATATACCCTAATGTACAGCTTATAGATTGCAGATGCCCAACGGCCCACCTTGCAGATCTGCTCGGGTGGGATTCCTAAGGCGTTTTGGAAGGAGGCGCCGCCGACTCGGAAAGAGTGGCCGGAGAGTCCATCAAAGCCATGGGCTGCCCATATGGCGGATAACCTCTTCTTTGCGTAGTATTTAGTCAGCGCTATATGCCGTCCATCCTTGTGAAAGCCGAAGATGTGATTGTTCTGACCGCAAGACGAGATTCTTCGTGTCAGAGCCCTGACTGGGCAAAGGCAGTTCGGCATCTGCTTCAGTTGGAGGAACTGGGATTCTCCCGGTAAGGCCGTCTTGGATTCTTTCAGTTCGATGGTCGCTGACAAGCCATTGTTGCTGATCGTAATGTCGCATCGTAGAATCCTTCGGCCTGGGTTGGACGGATCATGTGTTACTTCGCCCAATCTTGCTAGGCTCCAGAAGGTTACCAACGCTAAGTCGAGTACCGCGGCGTCTTCTAAATCTCCTGACGTTAGGTCATTCGCTAAAACTACCAGGTGTTCTATCATTACTGGCTTTTTCGGTTCTTTCTTCGCCGCCTGCGCCTCAACCTTGAGAGAGGCTTTCAAAAGGAGGCCTACTTTCTTCTCTGAGATCAGAGGATATGGTGAGTTGTGAAAGATGTGCCAGGCTTTCAACCCTTGAAGGTATTTTTTGAGGGTAACGCTGAGCACTCCGGTTTCGCCGCCATCTGAGTCCTTCTTTCCTGCCCAGAAGCAGAACCCGTATATATCTTCCTCGGCAGCCGGTAGGGTAAAGCAAGGATGGCCGGAAGTCTTCTTGAACGTGAGAAATTTCCGCACTGCGGAGTTGTATCCCTTAAGAGTAGATTTGGACCAGCCGTTAAGGACGTGCTGGTCTAGTCGGCTAGGGGTATGAAGTAAATGTCCTCGCGAAGTAAAGTCTCTAATTGAGGATAGGAACGAGTCGTTTGAGGTAACAGGCATTGATTTCTGATGCAGAATGAATTGAAGACGATGGGATATGCTACGAAGATGAGCGAGATGTGGAAAAAACAAATAAGATCTAAAAATAGCCAAAAAGGAACAGGGTACAAAAAGGGGCGGAGACTTTATATCTTAAACACAACTTGAGATAAAAGACCCTGTAGGTCCGACGGTAACTGTACAACCACTTGGTACTTTACATTTTGGCCTGACCGTATCCCTCGCGACAAGGCATCTGCCTTGTTGTCTTTAGATTTTACTCTCCTTGCCACCAAATTGACTGATTCCCTTAATAATACTTCTTGGATTTTCTTCCACTCATTGTTTGCTTCAGCGTCCTTCGTCTTCTTATTGTTGATACTATTCTCGGTTGTTGTATTATCAGTCCAGACAATAAGTGATTTTCCTTTTTGACTTCTCAACTTGAGTAGCATGAGGAGGCCTAGCCGTATCGCTACCGTTTCTAAAAACAAAATCCGTTTTTGGTTCGATTGTGGGTCGATAAGCTTGAATTGAGCCCAGTGCTTCCCGACGAGTATTCCAATTCCAAAGGATGTCGAAGCATCACCCACCCATCCGACATCTAACGGTGGGCCCCAGTTTATTAGACGTGTATGTTCGAAGTTATTCAACGTATTCACCCAAACGTCTAGGTCTTCAAGGACATCTACCGGGGTCGCTCGTTTCGCTTTCCGCCAGATCCAGGATTTCAGCCACTTGTATAGAGAGCATAAGTGGCATCTCATGTGTGGGAGGATATAAGAGACGTGATTGAGTCTCCCCACTAGGACTTCTGCCTCCTCATAGTCGAACATCGCTTTTTTGACCTGGAAAGGATGGATCTGAGCCAGTCTCTGCTCAATCTTGCCTTCTGGGAGTTTCACAGTTTTGAGGTGTCCATTCCACACAAATCCTATAAATTTTTGTTCTGCCGTGAAGTCTGAGAATTTCTTGATATTTGTCATCACCCCCAGTTCTGTAGATTTCGACACTATCTCTCTCATTGAAAGGTTTTCATCTACCTCTTTGACAAAGAGGTTATCGTCTACCCACCTAAAAACATTGACTAGGTTGAAGTGATTTTTCATTACAAGTTTCCAAGCGTCCGCTGGTCGGCCAAAGGAACCGCAACCCGCTACGCCTCCAAAGGTAATGCGTGTGTCTATCAGAAGGTTCCCGTCAAAGTCGTGAACTAGAAGATACTTCCACTGGTCTTGCCTCGTCGGGATCTGACGGTAAGCCTTTTCCCAATCGAATAGCGCTAAGTCGAATTTTTGATCATTTTCAGCGAAGAATTTCGAAACTATCTTGAAATCATCCCAAGTAGTTTCGAAATCGCTTTTATCTACGTATGAGTTTACTGATCTGATATCTGGATCGTTTCTTGGATATGATAAGTCGTTAATCGGTCGGATTTGACCGTCTCCGTTGACTACCGCACCCAAGGGGTTGGACCTGAAGAACCCAAAGGTTTCCTTCAGTTGTTGGTGCGAAAAGGGTCCTAGCATCCTTTTAGCTTCTAATTCTTTTGATATTGACTCTTCGATTTTATCTTTTACTAGTAATGACGACTTATGATTTTCTGGTGTGAACCAATGTTTTCCTTCAATTATGTGTTGAGGGATTCCTTGATCAAAACCGTTGGTGAAACCATCGATCACGTCTTGGTATTCTGGTAGAAGATTGCCCACTTGTAGCGCTTCTCGCCATTTTGATATGTTCATTTCACATGTGACTTTATCCGGTAAATTCATCTGTGGCACAACAGGAATAGAATTTGACACTGTTCTGAATTTCATGTATTGTCATAAATAAGAAACAAGGTGGAGAAGAAAGCATAGTAAGACAAAAATTCATTGCAAAATAATATTATATTCTCATTTTTTTTTTTTTTTTTTTTTCGCTTCGTGCATCTTTGACAAGGGAATTTGCCCTAGTAATTTCAGGGAAGATAAGCCTACATGTCTTTCCCTTCTTTAAATTCTTTCTTTCCCATCGAGGCTGGGCCTCTTGAAGATGAACCTTTTTGTTCTCTAAAGCCATTCTTGAAGTTATTGTCCTCATAATGGTTATAGCTTCTGTTAGTATAACCACCTCCTCTTCTCGGGCCCCACTTATTATCTTCGGAGCCTTGTGAAACTCTTGCTTCGCGGCGGTCATCGAAGTGTTGATCATTGTAATCGGCCGGACCAAGATTTTTCCCTCTATATCCTCCTCGATTCCTAGCCGAGTTGCCTCTATAGGAACCTCTTTCTCCCGAGTTTTGTGACGAGTATGGGTTGACGTCTGAAGAGGATTTATGCCCTTTTGGCATTTTTGGCCTTCCCGTTTTCGGATCGAACCCAAACTTGACGCCGCCTAGAGCATAAGGGTTATCGGTGAAGTCTAGCTCGTCTAGTTTTCTCGTAATCGTCCAAGCTTTCTCCCGAACTTCTTTCCTCATGATGGATATGTCGACTACCGACGCTCCTTGGTCGGTTTCGACTCGATAGGCGAAAGCGTTAGCTCTGACAATAATGTCGTAGCGGAAGCCGGTCAGGAAACCATCGGCCGCAATTATTTCATCGACATTCGATTTATGTTCGACTATCCACTCTGCAAATTCGGGGATTTTGTAGATGTCCCTATAAGTGATCAAGAAGCTCCTGAAGTTGTTGGTCCATGCGCTGAATGATTGGGTCCACTCGTTTGGGTACTCGTAGCCCGTATAAATTCCGTCTTTTTCGTCCGTCTTTGAGCGTTTGCCTGAATGAAACGAGACCGCCTCTTCTTGCCACTCTTTGTCGAAGATGGTGAGCGGCAAATGTAATGATGGCACAACTTGCGCACGAAACCTGATGATGATAATAATTATGAGTCTGAGTTGTTTGCCAATAACAACGAAGACACCTTAGATCACACACACCTGATGATGATAATAATTATGAGTCTGAGTTGTTTGCCAATAACAACGAAGACACCTTAGATCACACACACCTGCACGAGCGTAGCGAGTGATTTAGTTTAGGAATAAATTTTTATGTTGGAAGGACACGCGAGAGATAATTAGTTTCTCTTTCTTCACTTGCAATGTGTTTTGAGCGTGTGTTACTTTTTAATATGATAGAGAAAAATAAAGAATGAAAAACAAAGTCACACCTGATGATGATAATAATTATGAGTCTGAGTTGTTTGCCAATAACAACGAAGGCACCTTAGATCACACACACCTATTAGAGAAAGAGATGACAGAAGAAAAGATAACATGATTGTTAGAAAAGAAATGATCGGTGAATCAAAGTAGAAGAGAAATAGTTTGATCAATGAGAGAAAATAAGAGATGAGTGCATACCTGCACGAGCGTAGCGAGTGATTTAGTTTAGGAATAAATTTTTATGTTGGAAGGACACGCGAGAGATAATCTGAAAGTAGTGAAACAAACAAGGAAGAAATAGTTAAAGAGAAAAAATAGTGTTAGTCCTGATTTCGAAGTTTTGATGAGGTTTCTGACGATATGGGTTGTGACTTACTAGTTTCTCTTTCTTCACTTGCAATGTGTTTTGAGCGTGTGAAGAAAGGGAAACTAGCGTTTGCAGTTGCGGGCGGTGGTTTTATGGGTGAATCGAGGGATGGATTAGGTTAGGTCTAGTGTTCTGAGGAGAGTGAAAATTGTGCTTGAGTTTTTGCATGACTGCGTATCCTGTATACGCAGTTGTGCAAACTCGTATTCTAACAGGCTCCCTCAATTTGAACGGTATTGGATAGGCCAATCATGTCTCTGAACTTGGCGAAAGGCTTTTTCCCGAGATTTTTGGTAAAGATGTCCGCAATCATGTTTGAGGTATACGCATGCTTCATCTTGAATGTTCCATTGTGCACGTGTTCGCGAATCCAATGGTGCTCGATGGCAACATGTTTCACTCGTCCGTGATGAATGGGATCTTCAGCCAGGTGAATTGCGCTAAGGTTGTCGCATACCAGTTCGAGGGGCACGGGAACTGTCATACAGAGTTCTTTCATGAGCTTGATGAGCCAAAGTGCCTCCTGGCCCGCCTCGGTGATGGCGCGGTATTCCGCTTCCGTGGACGACAGAGCGACTGTCTGTTGAAGTCGGCTTCTCCAGCTGATAGCTCCTCCCATGAGTTTGAAGATGTATCCAGTTGTTGACCGGAGTGTGGACTTGTCCCCCGCCCAATCTGCGTCGCTTGCACATTCTGGAAAGTTCCAACTAGGATTTGCGTTCAGGATCTCTTCTGGCCGGTGTTTGTAGCGAATACTGAAAGAGCTGGTGGCCTTAAGGTACCGGAGAACATGGAGGAAGGCATCCCAATGTTTTTGGTTTGGTTTTTCAAGAAACCGGGATAAGACACCAACCGCAAAACTGATGTCTGGGCGAGTACAGATAGCAATATACATGAGAGAACCAATCGCACTCCTGTATCTGGTGTTAAGTTTCACGAAGTTTTCGTGCTCTTCGTCAGTTGATTTGACCAGTTTGAGGGTGCAAGCTGGCCTGCAATTTGCCATATTGAATTTTTCGATGACGTTCTGGATCATTCCGTGCTGATGGAGGGTGTAATCGCCGTTTTCTTGGCGTTCCAATTCAAGGCCGATCACGAATTTTGCAACACCGAGGTCTTCCATTGCCCATTTCGACTTGATCTCATTCTTGACTTTGTCGATTTCGTCGCCAGTGATGATCATGTCATCAACGTGTAGGTATAGGATGCTTCGCTTCCCGGAAGAGTTTCGGAAAAATACGCAGGAATCGGCGTTGGTCTTTACAAAACCAATTTTTGTCAAGTGCTTTTCTACCTCGATGTGCCACAAACGTGCTGATTGTTTTAGGCCGTAGATTGATTTGTGCAGCTTCCAGACTTTCCCTTTTCCGCCAACTTCGAAACCTTCCGGCTGCTCCAGGTAGATCTCTTCGTCCAACGGGCTATTCAGGAATGCGGCAACGGCATCCATTTGTTCCACAATCCAACCCATCTGAGCGGCAAGGGCGATGATCAGGCGTAAGGACGTTGGTCTTCCAGTGGGTGAGAAAATTTTGTCGAAGTCTACGCCTTCTTCCTGAGTGAAACCTTTTGCTACGTATCGGGCTTTGTATTTCGATATCTCCCCGTCAGGGAGGATCTTGACCTTGAATACCCATCGACCGCGGATGATTTTTCGTCCGGCTGGGCGTTCGACCAGAGTGAATACGTGAAGTTTCTCAAAGCCGTCAATCTCCTTCTGGCAAGCTTCTGTCCATCTATCCTTGTACTTTGATTTAAGTATGTCTCGAAACATTCGAGGCTCGTACTTTGGATCAAGGATTGCGACGTTGAAGCATTGGCCTCTTTCGGTTTGATATGATCGTTTGGGGAGCTGACTGATTCTGGTTGATCTTCTTACGTAATTCGGATGATCCGGATGATTTTGGGGTGGTTTTGGAGGAATCACTTTTAGCCGGATTTGTTTATCTTCGTCAATTGGGTTTGGGGTCTCTTCCTCATCCGAGATATCTTCTGATGATTCGTCGTCCAGGAGTGCCGGCTGATCTGGTGGAATTTCAGTTTGTTCATTCTCTTCCTCATCCTGACTGATTATGAAGTCTTCAGACGGCTCGTCTCCTTTCTCAGGAAAACATGTTTCGTCAAATGAGACGTCGTGGACGTTGATTATCTTGTGGCTTTCATAGTCGAAAACTAGATAATTGCGGTTGAATTCATCAAAGCCGACCAAGATTCCCTTTCGGGATGTATCGCTGAATTTGCTCTCTCGTTCTTCCGATCTGTTATGAATGTATGTCAGACATCCGAAAGTGCGAACATATTCAACGTTGGGCTTGTGATGGTACCAGAGCTCGTATGGTGACTCCATGAGACCGTTTCTTGCTCGATTAAACATCCGATTTTGAACAAACACGGCAGCGTCGCATGCCAAACTCCAGAATCTAGTTGGCACTCCGCTGAACGATAGGAATGATCTAGCTTTTGTCGCTATGGTTCTCATGTATCTCTCGACCAACCCATTTTGTTGAGGTGAATAGGGAGCGGTCGTGTTCTTAACAATACCAACCGAGTCACAGAAAGGGATGAGGAGGGAGTTGATGAATTCTCCTCCTCCATCGGTGGTTATCATTTTGACCTTACGATCGCAATGCCTTTCAGCGCGGGTAATGAACAAGTTGATGGCATGGAAGATTTCCTCCTTAGTTTTTGATTTCAAGAAGAATATAAAGCTCATTCGAGTGAATTCATCGATTATTAACATGAAATATGAGTAGTTGAAGATACAAGGTATTCGAATGATTCCACTGAGGTCTATATGGATGTTGTCTAGGGGATAACGACTAAGGGGTTTTGTACCAGAGAAAGGGAGTTTGGTCGATTTTGTCAATCTGCAGGTATCACAGTTGTTATCTAGACTTCCGGTTGTTTCGATCGTTTTCTTCAGATAGTCTTGGTTAGCATGGCCTAATCGGTTGTGTGCTGTTTTGACGTCAATGATGTTAGCTTCATTTGGCCCCTTTTGAAGATTGATTTGGAAATTGCTAACCGGCTCAATCCTGACTACCATGAGGTTGTTGACGTATCGTCCTTCTAGAAATATCTCGCCGTCGAATGAGATCTGGAATTTTGACGGGTCATTGGGGTCTTGAACTTCAGTGGCCCCTTTTCTTTTGAGGGCACCCGCGGCAATGAGGTTGTTGCGGATGTTTGGGATGTACAGTGATTCTCGGAGTGTGAATTTGTCGACGGATACTCCTTTGATCACGACTTCTCCGACGGCTTCCACATTGAGTTCTTCGGATCCAGCTGTCATTATGGATTCGAGCTTCTTGGAATTGTTCTTGACGTTGGAGAAGAATCGGAAATCGTTGAACATGTGGCTTGATGCGCCGGTGTCCCAGATAGCTTCGAATTTCGAATGGACTAGATTGGCTTCATGACCGTAGGCGACGAAGACGTAATCATTTTTCTTCTTTGGTACGACTTGGGTGAAGAAAACTTCACCTTGGGATTTCTGAGCAGGTGGGCTTGAGTGTTGATTGTTGGACTCGGTGTTGTGGGCGTTAGGCGGTGTGAGGCCTCGCTGTTCGAACCATTCTCTTTGAGCGTCAGCATTTTCTGGACGTTGAAAGCATTTGTTGGCTGGGTGCGGACCAAGGCATCGTGACAGGGTGCATTTCTGTCGAGGTCCTGTTTGTTTGGGCTTGGAGGTGTTGTTGGCGAGTTTGAGATTGCTCATTCCGGTGTTGATCTTGCTGGAATTGTAGAATGAGAATTCTAAGTTCTCATCCTCATACTGTTTGAGAGCGTCGATGACTGCGCGTGTGGTGATTGGTTTCACCGTTCGGAGAATTGTTCTGACTTCATTGTTGTGGGTGTCGCTTAAAGAATGGAGAAGTCTTCTGCCGAGTTGGGCTTCGTTGATATGCCCTCCTCGGTTAGCTAGCTCGCTTTTGAGTTTGGAGAAAGCATCGATGTGTGCGGTGATTGAGGTCTTGAAATCTTGAGTGAATTTCTCTATCTTGGATTGGATGAGGTATAGGTTTGCCTCGTTATCCGATTGGTGAAAAGTTTTTATTGCGGTCCAGAGGTGAGCTGGTCCTTTGACGGATTCGGGAATCTGGCGAATGATCTGTTCGGTTTCCTCGTCTTCATCTTCTTCTTCCACATCTACGATCGGTATGACTATATCGTTGTATGCGGCTCGGAATCTGGTAGAGTTGTCGGAATCCATTCTTGAGTACAGGAACTCAAGGATGCATCGTCTATTGATGTTGTTGACGTCGTGTGATACGCCGTTGTCTTCATAAAACTTATCGACTACGTAACCGTGAAGGAAAAGGATTTCTAACGATCCGAGTATTTGTCGCGACCAGACCATGAAGTTGCTGTCGGTGAGTGACTCTATTCCTTTGATTTTGTTCAGAGTACCCGATAGTCCGAAAGCATGGGCTTGATCATTGCTGAGGATCATTCCTCCGCGGTGGGATGCATTTTTGATCACATTTTTTTGGATCTCAATGACTGGATCGACGGCTTGTGGCATGTTGATTTAACTTTCGATCTGAAAGCTCTCGCTACCATGTAATGATGGCACAACTTGCGCACGAAACCTGATGATGATAATAATTATGAGTCTGAGTTGTTTGCCAATAACAACGAAGACACCTTAGATCACACACACCTGATGATGATAATAATTATGAGTCTGAGTTGTTTGCCAATAACAACGAAGACACCTTAGATCACACACACCTGCACGAGCGTAGCGAGTGATTTAGTTTAGGAATAAATTTTTATGTTGGAAGGACACGCGAGAGATAATTAGTTTCTCTTTCTTCACTTGCAATGTGTTTTGAGCGTGTGTTACTTTTTAATATGATAGAGAAAAATAAAGAATGAAAAACAAAGTCACACCTGATGATGATAATAATTATGAGTCTGAGTTGTTTGCCAATAACAACGAAGACACCTTAGATCACACACACCTATTAGAGAAAGAGATGACAGAAGAAAAGATAACATGATTGTTAGAAAAGAAATGATCGGTGAATCAAAGTAGAAGAGAAATAGTTTGATCAATGAGAGAAAATAAGAGATGAGTGCATACCTGCACGAGCGTAGCGAGTGATTTAGTTTAGGAATAAATTTTTATGTTGGAAGGACACGCGAGAGATAATCTGAAAGTAGTGAAACAAACAAGGAAGAAATAGTTAAAGAGAAAAAATAGTGTTAGTCCTGATTTCGAAGTTTTGATGAGGTTTCTGACGATATGGGTTGTGACTTACTAGTTTCTCTTTCTTCACTTGCAATGTGTTTTGAGCGTGTGAAGAAAGGGAAACTAGCGTTTGCGGTTGCGGGCGGTGGTTTTATGGGTGAATCGAGGGATGGATTAGGTTAGGTCTAGTGTTCTGAGGAGAGTGAAAATTGCGCTTGAGTTTTTGCATGACTGCGTATCCTGTATACGCAGTTGTGCAAACTCGTATTCTAACAGCAAAGGCCCTTTGAACTCGCGGATGTTCTTGTCGAAAAAAGGAGTGAATCCAATGTCGCAATGATTTGGGATGGAGCCCCTGATGAAGTTGATGCTTTTATCCAAGGGTTGCTTTTGTGTCGGTAGCGATGCCGTAGCAGAGGCCGATCGGTGGACAGATGGAGGTTGTAGCGTATTCGTATTAGGGGGTGTCTCATCCTTAGGCAAAGAGAGATATATCCTGAGAAGGAAGTCGGCGGTTGAGTCGTCGTTAGCTGATTTAGCTGCGCAGATTTGGTTCCACAACCTCTCTTTATCCGAGAGTTGGGATGTTGAGACCACCTGTTTGGGTGTTTCTGAGTCTAATGCTTTGTTGACTACAAGCATGGGTCCTGAATCGTCAGAGGACGACAGTAGATTACGGTAGGTTGTCGCGGTCGACACTGACTCAGGGATTGTCGTGGCTGTCGTGACAGGGAGTTTGCTGGATTTGGTACCGTCGGTGAGCTGGCCTTGAATCGCATCGTCTTCTCGGTCGTTTTCTTTTGACGTGTCTTGTCCTCTTGGTTCATCATTTCCAGGATCTCCGGTGCCTCTCTTGCCAACTTGGGAGGGGCGTTGATAAACGCACGCCTCCCCCCTCCCCGCACG